CCCTTCCAGTCTAAACTATTCTATGATTCATTATTTAAGAACAAAGTTAAAAAAATAAAACCATTTTCACGTTCTCTGAAATCTGGTCTTGCATTTAGTAGCTAATTTAAGAATTCCCTGCATCAGCTCAACCGAGGAGCATTTCCAGCCCTTCCGGGGGGTAGCTTTCATAATATTGGGCAATACAGTGTGCAGCTGCAGATCTGGTTTACAAAGAAATATTTCATCGCGTAGGCAGTCCTTACAGAGCAGGAACCATGATTCCTCAGCTATATGACGTCTGGTTCTTGTTTAGACAGTGGCACTTTTTCCTCCTAGGTGTGTTGCCTTACAACAAACTTGTAAGGGTTATTATTATTCATGTCTCGTCTTCAGAGGACTATCATAATCTCCTTCTAAACAGGACTGAACTGGTACAGTTGTTTCTTGAGCTGAGGTTGTATACTGAAGAAAGGGTCTAAACTAGGCTTGCAAATTCACATTTAAGCCCTGTGATCTTTTTGATTGAACAGCCAGTTCCCACTGACACTAATTTCTGTCTGACTGCGTATGTGTCACTCCTTTGAAAATGATGCTTGTTTAAGATGCTTAAAAATTGATTTATGTATCCCCAAGTTTGAACATTGTGGACTTACTAAAATTTTTGAAGCAAAGATGTGTTGCCAAAAAAAAGAATTTTAAGTGTCTTCTCTTGATGGCCTTGCATTTTAATAAACTGTAGTGGTTACAAAGGTTTCTATATTTTTGAAAGAGTTGCCTGAAGAATAATATATTTTTCATTGGTAAAACTTTGCTCATGTGAGTGTACTATTTCCATAATTTCAAGAGTATATTTGTACCACTGTTTTATAGCTCAAATACCAAAGAATGCTTGAGCGATTAGAGAAGGAGAACAAAGAATTAAGAAAATTGGTACTGCAAAGAGATGACAAGGGAATTCATCAGAGGAAGTTAAAGGTACTTATGTGTTACAAATCAGCATAGAAATATAATTATGCCATATTTTCCATTATGCTATTCTAAATTGTATTTGTTAATTCATAGATGAATTTTAACATTTGTTATATCTATGCAAATTTTTTGACATGTTAAGGCTTTTATACATCTTTTTTTTTTTAACTATATAACTTTTGAAAATGGCTTCAGTTGAAGAGCACAAAGGGGTTACCAGGTCTAACTAAATAACTTACATAAGTAAGTGGGAAATGTGGATTGGATTTTTTGATGTAGCTTCACTGTATTTGCTAATAAAAATGCTTCCAACTCTTCTTAGACACACAATCTGATACTTCTGTGCTTTGTCATGGGTCTTACTGAGTTTGGTAGGAATATAGTTACGGGGTCAGAAAACATCTTTTAACGGCCCTGTATAAATCCACAGAGGTTGAACTAAGTATGCTTTTGCTTTTGTCTGCCAACATCCTGAGCATTCTAAAAACAGACGTTTTCTGCCTCTCTCTGCATCACTTGCTGACCAGTATGGATCTTCCTCTTTCCTCTGGGAACTGGAAGATAAGTAGTTCTTATTTTTACAGAATGAGGTTCATAGCTCTGTACCCTTCTTAATGCTTTCCGTTCATCAAGCTGAAAATGTAGGTCTAGATGTTTAATGGAAGAAACTTAATTCAGCTTCTTAACTTGGAAACTGTGAAGTCTGAGCACTGTTGTTCTCTTATGCTGTACGTAAGAGCTCCCATTTTCGTCTTTCAGCAAGATGCATCTGCAGCTATAGTATTTCCATCCACAGAAGTCAAGGGATGACTTTACTTGGTATTGTACTTCATAAAACAGAGATCTGTACTGCAGTATAGATAGTTTAGGTTTCAAACCATCAGGAGAGAATAAAAACATTTGTACAGATTAAGTTTACAGAATATACAGATGAAGCAGTCTGAAACCCAAGCTTTGCTCTGCTAATTGGCTGTGTTTTCTCTCTGTACTTTTTTTTTTTTTTTTTTAAGAAATCCTTAATTGATATGTATTCTGAAGTACTTGACATCCTGTCTGATTATGATGCCAGTTATAACACTCAGGATCACCTGCCTAGAGTAAGTAGATAAAGAATTCAAGGCTTTTTACTGAAACACCAGTCTTACAATGGAAGAGAACGTTTAGTTATATTCCAGAATAATCCAGAGCTAGTGCTAGGCTATTTTCTTGTAACTTCAGGGTTTTTACTCAAGATTTTCTCCATTTTAAATGCAACAAGAGAATTTTGAGAATAACCAATGTAACTGTGTTAAGTCTGTCTTGGCTCGTAGATAAAACCCTGTCTAGATCCAGATATTGCTGCTGTGCTCAGGCTTTCGTTTTAAATGGTTTCAGTGAGGGCACCCCAGCCTTCTCAGCAGTGTAAAATGACTGTTGTTTCCCGGTGTGCACCAGCAGCACTGAGAAGGTAAGGTGCCCCAGCTAACTCCCCACGGTAGTGCTGCTGTTGGAGGGGGGAGCATGAGAAGGGGTTTGGCTAGCCTGTCTGCTGGTGTAGGGGAGAGCCAGGAATGCTTCCTGCTTGCACAACCACCTGTAGCACTGGTGGTTTCTATAGGAAGCCAGTAAGATGGGAAAGTGACAGCAATTACATCAGAATTCAGCCTTCTCCAGGCAGAAGCAGCATCTACCAGGCGTTTCGCCTGCTGAAAGGATTTTGTAAAAGGCGAGAAGAATAAAAGGAGAAAAGAACTGCCTGCCACGAGAACAGCAAGCCCTTCCTCTCTTCATTAGGTGACCTGGCAGGTTAGGCCCGTAGGGTGCTTTGTGGACTGTGCTGTCTTAAGCACAAGTCAATTTTTTTGCATGACTAAAAGTTATCATTAATTCAAGGATTCCATATTTAAACCAATGCATTTATTGTCAAACATAATACAGCCAGTGTTGATACAGATTAACGTCTTTTTAGTCAGCTTTTGTTTAAACTTCCAAAATGTCCTCCTGAAGCCCAATGTCCTGCTTAAAGCCAATGGCTGTTTAAACTTTCACTTAAGGTGGTGGTGGTTGGAGATCAAAGTGCAGGAAAAACCAGTGTGTTAGAAATGATCGCCCAAGCCCGCATATTCCCTCGAGGATCTGGGGAGATGATGACACGTTCTCCTGTTAAGGTAAGAAACATCATAATCTCTGAATCAGCATTTGTTGTATTGTTCTCCGTCTGATTATGCCATTGATTGAAGTATATGTGAACATTCGTTTATAAAATGGCCTCTAAGCGAGTGAGTTTTTGCAGTCAATGACAAAACTTCTGCAGGCCTGTATATGATCCATATATGCTATCAGAGTAGTAGTAGTTCCTACTATAAGTAGTCCTGTGCTAAATAAGCATTATATATAGTTGTATGTCTGCAGTGGGAAGTATACGTATAGTATGTACTTCTCATGTTTCTCTGTGTTAGATTTACCATACTTTCTCATACAGGGCTTTTACCATTTAGGTAACTCTTAGTGAAGGTCCCCACCATGTGGCTTTATTCAAAGACAGCTCTCGGGAGTTTGATCTGACCAAGGAAGAGGATGTAAGTATAAAGAAGTGATTGGAAGTTAATGTGACTTTATTAATTCTCTGAAAATTTTTGTGTCTTTGTGGTCTGTTAGCCCCTGTTTAATTAGCGTGAAATATGTTTAGTGGGGCAAGTCATTATATTAGTTATTAAAGTATCTCTTAGTATGGTTTTTGGCTGGCACTGAAGTGGGTAAAATGTAGGAGGCGCTCTTGTGCCAAGACGTTTTTTGGAGTATGGAGGGGTCTGTGAGTAATCTGTCATTTAGCTCTCCATTTACCAGACTTAGTTATTCAATATGCATTTGAGACAGTTAGTATTTATAAACAGAGATCTTAATCCCTAAGTAAACTTATTCTAGTTATGTTGGTGATTTTTCTTCTATCACAGTTATAAGGAGTTTTATATTTGATACTTTGCTTTTCTCAAAACAGCTTGCAGCTTTGAGAAATGAAATAGAAATCAGAATGAGAAGTAGTGTGAAGGAAGGGTGCACTGTTAGCACTGAGGTAAGACTTGTCAAATACTTAGTGGCAAATATCTGTACATGTATATCTTTTGTAAGTATTCTTCAAATAGGAGACTGTGGTGAATCCAGTTTGTGTATACTTAATATTTTGCACTATAAAAGTGTATTTGGACTATTAAAATCAGTTTTATATCACAATTACACGCACATAAAATTGGACTTCCTATTTAAAATTACAGGCTGTTGTTGGTTTAAAGCATATGTGTGTGTAAATATGTGTTTATATAATTTTATATACGTGTGTTTGTGTATGTAATTACATACAAAGTAGGTGTGTGTATAAACCTGTAATTTCAATTTTACTTCACAGACCATCTCCTTAAGTGTGAAAGGTCCTGGTTTGCAGAGAATGGTATTGGTTGATTTACCTGGAGTAATTAGTGTAAGTATGCAATAAATAAATAAAAAAAAAAATATTTAAGACATGTAAGTGAGGTAGTGTTACTGATGAGAATATTAACTGTTGTTTTTTTACTTTACATCTTTCTGTTTTCTTTTTTCCTTTAAATATATATCTCCATATACGTATTAAAGACTGTGACATCAGGTATGGCTCCAGATACGAAGGAAACTATCTTTAGCATCAGTAAGGCCTACATGCAGAATCCTAATGCCATCATCCTTTGTATTCAAGGTAATAAGAGTTTAGATGATTATCCAACTGGCAGGATTTTTTTGTTTTTTAATTCTGATTCTTATGCGACTCTGGGGACTCTCCTATCATATGTTTTTTTCCATTTGTGGTAATTTGTATAGTGTGCAAAACAGCATGCTGTGGAATGTCTGTTTATAAATTAAGGCATCTTTGGTATCCATGGCAAAAAGCAACTTTTTGATAAGAGTTTTTTATCATTAAAATAAAATTCAAGATTTCTTAAAGTGTTTTTGGAGGCAACAGACAATAGCAGAGTTTAATATTTTGAGCAAGCTGGTACTTGTTTAAAACTTACACAACTACAACAAACTAATTTTTTTTATGATACTGGGAATAAAGCAAATTTTCACTATGTGTACCTAAAAATTGAATATAGGTGTAATTTTACTGGTTTTAAGTTGTAACATGAAATTTATTTGATGCCTACTATATCTTCAGTACTGCATGTTAGATTACATTGTTCCTAAAATATAACTTTGTTTTTGTTTATTTTAGATGGATCAGTGGATGCAGAACGCAGTATTGTCACAGACTTAGTCAGCCAAATGGATCCCCAAGGAAAAAGGACAATTTTTGTGTTGACCAAAGTTGATCTTGCTGAGAAAAACGTGGCTAGCCCAAGCAGGGTGAGTTGAAACTATTTTTCTTGTATTGTGATGGCTAAAGTCACATATGGAAAAATACTTGAGACGCTGTCAGAAATATTGGACCTCACCTACCTGTTCTAGATGGTTTTGAGTGCTTATTTCTGTAAGCAGTATGATTTTTTGGGGGTCATCGTCATTTTAATCTCTCTCAGGCTTTGTTTTTAGTGATCAGCTGTATGACATCAGTGACAGCTTGGCTACAGCTTGCTGTAATACTGATTCCTTTCATGCAGGTGACCTGAGCAAGTTCAATTTCCTGAGAAGGCTTTTTCACATTATTTTGTGTTTTGCTGTGTTATGCCTTATTTGTTTTATGCCTTTATATTTTTTTTTTCTTTTAAATATTAGTAGAACTTATAGTCCCATGACAAACTGCTTCTTATAGTAGTCTATGCATAGATACAACTAGATCTGGCTTTAAAACTGCGCTGAAGGAAAGAATGTCTCTGTGCAAAGTTAACCATGTTTTTTTAATTCTTTATTTTCACAGATCCAGCAAATAATTGAAGGCAAACTCTTCCCAATGAAGGCTTTGGGTTATTTTGCAGTCGTTACTGGAAAAGGTAAAGAGAGCTCTGGCTCTGCTTATTTTCTCCTTGATAGCAGAGAAAACTGTCTAAATGGAACTGTTGCAGCACTCTCTTCTTTCTCCAGGAAACAGCAGTGAAAGCATTGAATCTATTAAAGAATATGAAGAGGAATTTTTTCAAAATTCAAAGCTCTTAAAGTATGTTGCTATTTATTCCTTTTACTAAAATGAGCCTGTATTGGTAAATGCTACCATCAGTTTTTCTTGTTGAACTTAAAATAAGGATTGCAGTGTGGAAACACTATTTGAGATTTAATCTGCTTAAATTAGGTAGCTTGTTGACGTGACCAAGTTAGCCTGGTTTCCTAATGCTTGCTGTAAGTCAATGGAGAGAGGCAGGCATCTTCAGGCAGCAATTGATTCCACTGCAGTTCTGAGCCTCTCTTCAGAGGTTTCTGTATCTCTCCATTGGCTCTAGAAGAACTAAGTTCCCAGCCTATGTCTAGGCGCTTGATAGAGCTGGGAGGAGTGAATCCAGCCCAAATATGAGTTGTAGTGCCTCTAAATATCAGTCATCTTGGTGTGACAATAATGTGGTATTCAAAGGGTTAGCTTGTGTGTTCTGCTGGAAGTTCATTGAGCAGAGTTTTGATTTCACCGGCTTGAATTTCTCAGGAAACTAAGCTGCATGGTCTTTGGGACTGCAGTACCTGCACTGCATCCTCTAGAACAAAAATTTATTCGTGGTGGGCGTTTTTTGGGTTGTTTGTTTTTTTCCCCTTGCTTTGGTGATTGTCTGCATTGAATATTTTGGAGGAAGAGACTGGAATTTGGGTTAGGTGCACATTGACATGTTATTCTCTACTATAAAAAGCAAAGCTTTACGCTTGTGAGGAGAAAATGGAGGCCAGAAAGCATGGGTATGCATAGAAGAATTTCCTCTAGCTGCCTTTCTTTACAGGACATGTATGCTGAAGGCACACCAGGTAACAACAAAGAACTTGAGTCTTGCTGTGTCAGATTGCTTTTGGAAAATGGTGAGAGAGTCTGTGGAGCAGCAAGCAGATGCTTTTAAAGGTAAACATCTTTTCAAAAAACAAGTGAAATAGCAACTTGCTGTGTTAAATAGTTAGTTCTTCCACATACATATAACACTGTTTTGCCAGCATGCTTGGGCATTTGCGTTTTATATGTTTTATATGATCACCGTTTCTCGTGAATTGGTAATTGCCCCAATTAATCTTTACAAAAACACATAAAAAAATAATTCATGGTATGAAGGACCAACTTGCTCTAAAAGCCGAAGGAGTAAATAAGTATGAAGAAAAAAATTCAGGTTTTTTTATGGGCAAAACACAATTCTTCCATTGGATTCAGATGTTGCTTAAAATGGCTTCCTGTATAAAGATACCATCGGATCAGCAGGGCAGGACTGACTTGTACAGGGCTGAAAGTTGAATGGCTCTCTTTCCACTACATTTTTTCAATACATGAAACCTGCAATTCGCAGACATAGTATCTAAGCATAGACAGCAAAAAACTTTGCTCATTTGCAAAGGCCATTAACGTTCTTGGAGGGTTTGTCATAAGCAAGATTTGTGGCAATTTTAGGAGCTGCTAAACTTTTAAGATAGTCATGAAGTGAGTATAGACAATTAAAAAAATTGAGGCCTTGTTTCTGATTTTTGCAGCCACACGTTTCAATCTTGAGACTGAATGGAAGAACAATTACCCCCGGTTGCGAGAGCTTGACAGGGTAAATTACACTACTGCTTTAATTTGTGTGCTACAAAGTGTTGAAGATTATGGATTAAAATTTATGCCATTTAATCTCATTTGTGAAGGTTTCTTAAAGTTAACATAAAGTACTGACATTTTAAAATGTGAGGACTGTAAATTATTCTAGGGGAAGGAAATACTGAGCTCTTTGTTTTATGAAATAGCGTGCTTCAAAATTGTGATATTTCAAGGCTTAACAAGTCCTTCACTCTTCTAGTATACAGTTAACTGACCTAATTTGCCCACAGGAACAGGTCAGTGTTTCTTTGTGATCATGACAGAACTGCAAAGAGAATTTACATTCCCTGGTCTTTCAGACAGAGTAACAAAACAATTATGATCCCATTCTCTAATTCTTTTATAGAGATCCTGAATATTCAAATGCCATGCCTGGCCAGAGGCATGCAAGAGATGGTGGGAAGATGTGTGGTAAACCAGGGTAGCTTATGACAAGCACATACATTGTCCAGAACATGGCCAGAAGGTATCATTTTAGGCTTAAAGGAAACATGATCAAACTATACTTAAAATCTTATTATTTCCTATTTTTTCTTTTGCATAGAATGAACTGTTTGAAAAAGCAAAGAATGAGATTCTTGATGAAGTCATAAGCTTGACTCAGGTCACACCAAAGCACTGGTATGGTAATTTTTTCTTTATTTTTTTCCTTTTTTTTTTTTTTTTTTTTTTTTAAACTAGCAGTAGTTTACCTTTAAAATACAGAGAGTTTTAGTAAAAAGAATTCTCAAATATAAATAAGGAACTGTTTTTCTTAGGACAATGTATTATTATGTCCTTTGACCCTGTGGAAGTAGTCTATGTTTATTATTCTGAATCAGCAGATTACTTGTATAATCCCTCAACAAAAATTATATGACGTCAGTTAGTGTTTTGTTCTGGTTTTATACAGTATAAGGAACAACAGGTATTCCTCAAAAATGAAAAGGAACAGTCATAATAAAGATGTTCTCAGGTGTTCATTTGAAGTATGAATCAGTAATTCCTCTTAACTTGATGGGGATTATCATTGTGCATATCAAAATAATATATATGACCTTGGAAAAAAAGAAGTTTTGTGTATCTGTGAATCAGAGATTTGGAAGTTTAAAGATTATGTAATTCCTGGCTGTAAAAAGAGCTGACTGGATGTTTGAGAATTTCATCTTACATGTGGATCTCCTTGGTAGCCTCAACCGAGTAGCACCGTACTACGTTGCCCTTCTTCTTTGTAAGGCAGACGTAGGTGTGAGGGAGAGAGCTTAGCCTAAGTGTTTTAACAGTGTAGCATCACTGCATAGTAAAGCCGCTGTAGATGCAGGCTGAGAGGAAAATAGCCAATGTAAAGGATTACTTTGATGACAGCCTGTACCACAACTGAGAACCATGAAAAAAAGATTTCTTTAATGCATTTGCCTTCAGCGACCTGAATTGAACTGTTACTTGGTCATAGATTAAAAACCAAGATGAAATATCTGACTCTTAATGACATTAGAATAATTCTGGGCATGTGGATGTGTTCAGAGAAAGTGCTGTAGGCTGTGTATTAGTCTGAAGTTATGTTCTAGTCTAAATGTAGTGCACGTTTGCCATTTTGGTGTTTGCTGCTGTTCGCTGTGTAATAGATGCTGAAGTACCCTGGCCCATGTCTGGTCTGCTTCATTTTATGTTGTGGATTGGGTGGGTGCATAACATCAATATTTCTGTGCATTTCTTTTAAAAGTTGAAATGTAGTGGTGATTCTAGTTTTCTAACACTTAATAAGCTATAAAGTAGAACTGGAAACCTAAGTCATGAAAAAATGCTTCTGTTAGCCATTATATGCAGCTTAAAAACAGCAGTGCATTTGATGAATGCAAAGTTTCTATCCTGTTAAAATTTCCATTCCTTCCAATTAAGTTTGATTGAATTAAGCAAGGCAAAAGTGTATTTTTATTGACACGTCAGTAAAGAAAGAATGAGATTGCATTTGTTCTTAATCGGAGGACTGCCCTTCTCCTACAGTGCATTTGTAAGTGGTAAAATCCATAACAGACTGTTTCCAGCACACCCTATAAGTGAAATTAATTTGCCACATCCCCAGTTCTTTTAATGGTGATGAAGAATGATCAGTAATTGGTCTTTGTTTGAACGCTATCCAAATCATCCTATTTTGAGCAAAGCTTTTTAAGGAAAACATTTTTTTACTGGTGGCAATATTAATTTTTATTTATGGTGAATTCTTTCAACATTTAAATGCTTGAGTTCCTTTTAATTTTGTATAAATACTTTTACTACCCTAAATATGCCAAAGATCTGTTCCAACAATGAAAAACTAGTGGCTTTGATCCCCATTTATATTGGTATGTCAGAAGGACAGCTTCAAGATTTTTAAATTTCAAAGAAGGATGCTTTAAACACAAAAGAGAAATTTTCAATTATGCCATTGTTGAAACGGGGGAAGGAGTGATATTTATGAGAAGTTCTTCAGTCTTTTTCCACAGATGGCCTAGTTAGAACAGGGACATTATCAGGGGTGAGGCTTGTGTCCTGAACTTCAGCCTATTTGGAAGAAAAGGGCTTGAGTGAACCTGATAGTCTTGTACCACCAAAAAAAGGCAGTTTTTATTCTTTGGCTCTTAGCTCTCACCATTCTACGAAATCTGGCATTCATATGACTTGTTGGTAAGCTGATTTAGCATGCTGAGCTAGCATAAAATTAGCCTGAAGAAACCCACAACCTGTACTGGAGACTGGCAGGAGCAGAAGGAGCATGACTGCCTCTGTGGGTACTGGCTGCATGTTACACTGGCTCAGCTGAGTTGTCTCACTGCAGCTGCAAAGTTTCCTGAGTAAGTTTATTGTCTTAAAAAGGTTAAAGTTAAATTGTTTCCATTGTTACTTCTTGAAACGCATCATAAATAGGAAAGTGGTGCTTAGTTTTGTAGTGACATGAGGCGTGTTTATAAATGAGTGTCAATATACATTTTGGTAAAAGGTTGGACTTCTCAACTTGCTTCATTGTTTATCAAATCTGGGAACAATCAATGAAAATCCCAGATGGAAAACTACAGCATGTTCCAACAAACAAATCAGAATACTACAGAAACAAAACCCACATGCTTTTCTGGGAGTGTGGAATTTTTAGTCACATCATTTCAGTGCTTTACATCCTGCCCCCTTGTCGTTCCCCCACCTGTCATGCATATGCACACACAGCTCTGCATGGTTATACTGGTATAATTAAAGGCTGCAAGGAACTGTTGTGCAGATCAGTGGCAGCCGTAAGAGTCGTAGAGGCCAACCTCTGAAGCTGTCTTTGCAGCTGAAAACATTGTGTATTTGTGTCCTTAGTTCCAAGCGGAATTTGGTTGAAGCTGTGTCCTGATGTTAAGGAGCATATCCTGTGTTCTGTAGCCTTGTTTTCTCAGTGTTTCTAACAAATTGAATGCATATTTGTTAGACGCTTTTGTATTGAAAGCCATCATATGTGTTACAACTTTCTATTTTAGGGAGGAGATTCTTCAGAAAACTTTATGGGAGAGGGTATCTACTCATGTGATTGAGAATATCTACCTTCCAGCAGCACAGACCATGAACTCAGGGACATTTAACACCACTGTGGACATCAAACTGAAGCAGTGGACTGACAAGCAACTGCCTAATAAAGCAGTAGAGGTGAGAATTTAGTTATTTTTAAAAATTTAAAAAAAAAAAAAAAGTGCAAAGCCTGTTGAAATGAAAGCATAGCTCCAGAGAAGTAGGGTGGTGGTATGAAGGGCTGATTACAGTTCTTCTAACCAGCTTACATGTCAGAAAAGGCTGGCAAGATCTTGATGTTGAGAAGCATATACAGCAGGAACATTGTATTTTGCTCTTCTGGTGAATTTTCTGTATTAAAGACCAAAAAACCCCTCCCTTTAAAAGGTTAAACAAACCCTTCAAGCTAGGTATATTCATATTTAATAGATTTGTGCAAGTTTAACAGAATTCCACTTGCTACAACATAGCGAAACAAAATTTAGTGTTGACTTTGTTAGTAATGGATAAGGCAGCAAAGGAAAAATCAATTACTCTTACGCTTGTACGTTATTTTCAGAAAGTATGCAAATTTTCATACTTGCAAGAATTGTCATAAATGTTCCTTTACCAGCTGGTGCATTATATAATGGTCCATTTCAGTAGGTATTGTTTGCTAACTTTCTAGGTGGCATGGGAAACTTTGCAAGAAGAATTTTCCCGTTTCATGACAGAACAAAAAGGAAAAGAGCATGATGATATCTTTGATAAACTGAAACAAGCTGTCAAAGAAGAAAGTATTAAACGACATAAATGGAATGAAAGAGCAGAGGATAGCCTGGTACAATGTAGTGGGTTTTTTTGCATTGTTGACTAAGTGCTGTTGAAATCTTTTTACTGAAGTTGCATATTCAGTATTTTTGCATTCTTTTAATGTAATCATAAAATGATAGGGAGATGTGTCTATCTTTCCTTTTCTAAATAATGTTTTAATTCAGTGTTTCTCAATTCATTTTATTACTACCTTTTGTTAATTATTGCCCTAAATAACATCTAAAAAAATTTTTTTTGGTTGGTTCAGGAAAAAGTCCTCCATAACCTACTGGCTGCCTTGTGAGAATTGTTTAGCATCAGCTCATTTGTTCTGTTAAGTATAGCCACATAAAATAACAGCATTTCATTACCATCTTTATAGATGCTGTAATCCAGAGGCATTTCATATTGTTTGCTGTATTTTTTACATTATTTATGCTAGGCTATAGAAGAGAGTCAAATTAAAGGCACAAGAAAATATTTTTGGCAGTGCTTTGGAAAGGTGCCTCTTGAATAAATCTTGTGTGCCCAATAAATCCTGTTTTTATAGACATCAAAGAATGAAGAGAATGTCAGAAATCTTTTTTTTTAACTAAATCCTGAATAAATTATTTATTGTATGCTAAAATGATGTTCTGTATTGCAGCGAGTGATCCAGCACAATGCCTTAGAAGATCGATCAATATCTGATAAACAGCAGTGGGATGCAGCTATTCATTTTATGGAAGAGACGCTCCAAAGTCGTCTCAAAGACAGTGAGTTGCGTGATGTATTCCACTCTTGTGTGCTTTTTAATCTGGGCCAATTTCCGGATCTAGTTCACTTCACTGCAGTGCAAGCTTTTCTATCAACACAACTGAGACAGTGGTGACAGTTTAAGATGGTACCCATATTGATAGAAATGTGTAGCAAAATACAACCTCAAAAGCTAGTGCTCTTGCTCTTGCAGTGAGGCATCTGAAAGATAAGTAATAGAGATCTGTAGGGTCAAAAAATGGTACAGACACACGGGTAGAAGAGTAGGATAAATTCAGGGAAAGTAGTTGGTCCATTTATGGTTATCAAGCATGATTAATTTTGATGCAAGTTGCAACAAGATTTTTAAATGCCTGACTTGGAACCTAGAGGGCTGTCTCAGTGGAGGGACGCTATGTTTTTTATATACTTCCTTGAAGTATCTACTGGTTCACAGTTGCTTTTAAATTTTAGTAAAAGACATCAACTGTTGCTTTAAGTAAAAGACATCTGACTTGACTTGGTATGGCATATCCTATGTTCTTAGGCATAAAATGTCCATTCTTGATCTTGTACCTAATTTTAGAATTATAAATTTGGCTGGTTACATATATTTTGAGTGACACTTAACATCATGTTTCCTTTTTTAGCTGAATCTGTTATTGAAGATATGGTGGGTCCAGACTGGAAAAAAAGGTGGTTATACTGGATAGGCCGCACCAAGGAACAGGTAAAAGGAAAGAAAAAAAAATAAAGAATTTGTAGTTTTCACTACCTTTAGAAAACTTTGATTATTACTCGGTTAATTTTCAAAAATACCAACCCTCTTCACACTATTTAGATGACTACAAAAAAAAATTACTTTTAAATACTTTACAATTACTTTTACTATGCATTGTTTTAAATATTACACCACAGAGAATTTCATATATTTTTTTCATATTGCAGATACATAGTGGTTTATAAACTCTTTTCCATTCTTCAGCTGAATTACATCTTTACTATTATGCCATTGACCTGAATATTAAAGTTGTTGTAATAGAAAGAAATTGGATCAAAACAGGGTGGAAACAGGGGCTATTCTATTCTATACTTTCCAAGCATGCCTTTCAAGCAGAAGTCACTATCATGCTCCATTGGGATTTAATTAGTATGTGATAGCATTATCACTAGCATTCTAGTCACAGGTTGTATCTTCTGCTTGACTGTTTTCATCGTAACCTCTCCTCATTTCCTCGTAGCTTTTGGAAATTTCTTTTGAATTTAAATAGCACCTTCCTTTCAGTGCCCAGAGATGATGGGCTTTTTATGTTACTTTTTCTAGATATTTCTCAAACTGAATCACACTTTAAAGAAGTAAGCAGAGTTTAAAAGAATACAGTAGAAAGTAATTGTTTCAGAGGAAGGAGTTTTACAGTCAACTGTGTGCAGCCAGGTATGGGAGAAAGGCAGTGACTTCAACCTATCTTATTTGAATTTAATGAACAGCAACTTAAAGTTATGAATCCATGAAGAGTTCTTGCTAGCTGTTAGGCAAAAATTACAATTCTCATCAGTGTCACAGGTGTTATGTGAATGTGAACCCCGCTAGCAGATGTTCATGGAGGGGAAAGGAGGCTAACGCTTATGATTTTTATTTTTTTTCCCACCCTTCTCTTCCTCTTCTGCATTTCTGAGCATAATGAAAAGAAAAAAATATGAAAAATTGACAGTGAATTATCCATTTAAAAATACTGTATTTGAGATGTCTTTGCTCAAATACCCTTTTGAGTCACTTAAATGTAGTGGTTAATAGTGTCAAAGGTATTTTTTGTTCTGGCTTATTAAGCAGGTAGACTTTATTGAAGAGGTGCTGATGATCTCTGAGTCTATAATAATTAATTCTAACTAATCGTTCTTATCCTAGAATGTTCGTAACGAAACAAAAAATGAACTTGAGAAATTAATCAAATGCGATGAAGAACATGCAGCTTATCTGGCAAATGATGAAGTGACGACTGTCAGAAAGAATCTTGAAGCAAGAGGAATAACAGTGGACCCATGTCTGGTAAGTTGCAGAATTGTAACAAAACATATGGAAGCCCTCTGTGAACATTTGAATGTTCTTTCTAGATAGCATACAGAAGACTCCATCTAAATACTGAATTTGTAATCCAGATGTTTCCAAATGAATTACTAAATGAGTGCTTGCACGCAATTCACACACTTCTGTTGGCTGTCAGACAAATGCAGTACAACGCTTTGGAATCTGTCAATTTAGATTGAAATCAAAATCTGCTGAGCAGATTTTCTCACCTGCATTATGACAAGGCATGTTTACAATTATTGTTCAGATGTTACATAGTGGAATCAAGGCCTTTGTGAGCAAGATAAGATAAGAACATATTGTGCATTCCTAAGCTTTCGATGTGGTTGTATGTGCAGTTTGGAGTTCATAGGTACATTGAAGAGAGGGAAATTTTGTGGAAAAAAAAGCAGGGGTTTTTTAGAGTGCCCTGGAGGAATGTATTGTAGTTTAAAATGTTCTGGAACATGATTTATCTCATTGCAGTGTAATGCTCTTAATCATAATTAGACCTTTTATCTAATTAAATGTAAGATTTTAAATAAATGAGAATTCAAACATTAAAGAAATCTGCATCTATTATTTATTAACAGTTATTTATTTTCTGCAGTATTTTTGGCTACCTTTTCAACATTAATACATGTACTTATTCAAGGTAGAAGAGTTATTTAAATACCTGATGCCCCTTTCCTATACAGCACTTACCTTTTTATAAAGGTCAGAGTAGTGATCCACATCCTCTACATGAGCAGACTGAGTGCAAATTCAGTCTCCTTTCTAGCTAAGCAACTGATTTTCTTATTTTTATTTTATGTTTTTTTTGAAAAGCCATATCTATATACATATTTAATTTTGAAGAACTGGAACATAAATAAGCCTAATCAAGAAAAGTTATAAATGTTTCTTTACATAAGACCCGTTAAATATTTCTTTATGCTTTAATCTGGTTTAATTGATAAATGTGTTCTCAGTATTAATGTGAAGATTGCATCATGCCAAGAGCAGAACAATTTGTCCTGTTTTGTAGTATATAATTTAAATGTATTTTGGCTGCAGATAATATTTTTAAGCATTCAGTTATGTTACAAGCATGGAAGAGTAGATTTTAAAATTGACAATCACCTGTAATGTTTGCCAAATGTAACTAACACATTAATCATATCCCAGTTGCAGACAAACTGCTGAGAAATATTTAAAAATATATTACATGACAGCAATAGTGGAATTTGGAGTTATATTTTAAGATTAAATGCAATCATTAAACTATGCACAATAGTGAGTGTGTGTATTTATTTAGTCAAATTTAAGTACTGTTTTCCTAGATTAAAGACACATGGCACCAAATTTATAGAAGGTATTTCCTGAAGACTGCTTTGAACCACTGCAATCTATGTCGAAGAGGCTTCTATTATTATCAGAGGCATTTTGTGGACTCAGAGGTAAATTGAAGAACAAATATACACTGGTGTTTTGCCTTAATGTTTCCATCTCAGTTGAAAAAAAAATTTCTACAAATACTTTAAACTAGCCTAACCTTTCTTTTATATCTTTTATCTTGAGAGAGCTGGTGATCTTGGATATGTTTTACATGAGGCTTGTAATTGATAAAATGCCATCTTGGTGGTAATTATATAAAATGACCACTAAGTATCAGCCACAACCTAAACATCTGTTACTTATCACTGTGTATTGAAAATACACTGTTAAAAGCAGTATCGTACAGCTATCAATATCTTGTTGGTATCCATTTCTCCCACTTTCCCATTGATACTTATTTACCTCACTGATACAAAAAATTCAGAAAACATTAAGTAAGGGATTTTTATGGGAAAAGTATGATAAATAAGTGTTTAGAGTTAATGCTTGGAACCACATGTGATCAACACACACAAAAAAAAAAAACTATCAGGCTTACAAACAGATCTTTTAAATGACTTTCTAGTTTTGTAAACCCAAGCTTGTGCAACAAGTGACAGTTTGCATTAAGTTCCACAAAGAAAAGAATACACAGTTTTCTTACCATTATATTTTAAATCAAAAAGAAATTACTGGAAAGGTAGAGCTCCTCACTTTCTATGGAGTTTTCTTTTTCTTTTTAATGAGAAAAAATTATCCCCATGAAGCCAGAAATCTTTACTACTGCAGAAATACCTTTGCCTGTAAGAGATAAGAGAGAATGACATCATAGAATGGAGAGCTGCCTCTCCATGACATCTAACTTCCTGTTCCTATTACTGTCTTTTTAAAGTGTCCTAATGTGAAGTTAGTGCTGCCTCCTGCCATCCTTGCAGGTGTAGAAACTGTCTCTTCAGTTGTTAACAAATATAGTCCTTGGCCCAACACGGTCTTCAGAAGCATTTGTCAGACAGGGAGTCACAATATGGAATTCAGCTGTTGTCTTTCAATGTGTTTGCTATGAACAAGTGTGGTGGTTCAGCGAGCATTAGGTTATACTCACCAGCCTGCATACAGTGTGTGCAAATTGTTTTTTCCGTGATATCCCTTGATATGGCTCTTTCTGTTGAAAATAGTAGATGTAAAGGGGATGCAGTGTATTAAATAGGGCTGACGCAGTTTTTGAGAAGTATTTTTGGTGTGTTTCCTTGTTCCTTACAGCAGTTATTCTGTGGGATTTTTGTGCAAGATCAGGATATGTATACATGGGTTTACAGTTGCCGCTAAAAGTGTCAAGAGGTTCTTGTAAGTGTAGGATGTTCACTGGACACCAGAGGTCTGACATTACAACTTCCCTTGTTTCAGCTCGAATGTAATGATATTGTCCTCTTCTGGCGAATACAGCGAATGCTGGCAATTACAGCAAATACGCTGAGGCAGCAGCTTACTAACACTGAAGGTAAGGCTCTTAGTGAATCGAGGTGTTTGAAACAAAAAATTTTCTAGTGTTCCTCTAGCTATGTGTTCCTTTCATGCTTAGCATGGCTGGCTAATTTTTGTGTCCTGTTAGGTAATTAAAAGATGTAGAGTAAATAGAATTTGACATTCTATTTACATTAAATGATTTAGTGTAATGTTTAAATGATTTAGTGTCACATAATTAAGACACTCTCCAATTTAAAATATTTTCATTTTACGTGATGCCAGTTGTCAATATCTTTTTCCAAGCAGAAAGCATTTTAATAAATAGTGACTATATTCTTTTTTTCTCAGGTCGATCTGGCTGTAGATTTTAATTTTAAAAGGTTTGATATAAAAAATCAATTCTAATGGATTTTTTTAAAGCCATGCAAAATGTACCATGTAATATCTAGACAAGCTTATACAACAGCAACTCCCTTATAAAGCATCATTTATGTAGCAATCTGCTAGTGCCGTGATACAACTACTAATAACGATCTTTGATCTGTAAAATACTTTTTAACCTGCTTCTTGAAGAAGGTGCAAATTTGAACCTTGTTATGTGATGCAAGTTACTCTCCATGGAGAAGAAATTGCCCCTAAATATAGAAAGCTAGGTCCTGTCTCTTCAAACCACCTACCTCATTGACAACTGCTGGGCTCAAAATTAAGAAGTTTCATTAGGAGGTATTCCCTCTAAGTATGAAGGGCAAGGATATGAGTGTTAAGATGGACATAATACTGCTTTAAAGAGCTTCTGATTCCTCTTAGCCTTTTATATACAGCAACACCCCTCTGTGTGCCATCAATCCTTCAATACTACACTCTGCTGTCATCATTAACTACTTTTTCCATCTTTCACCTTGAATTGACTTGGCCTTGATTCATTTGATGAGGGTGATGGTGATAGCGAAAGTGTAACCGTTAAGAAGGAGGCGGCAAGGATGTTTACAATAAAAGATTTGTTGGACACTCAGTCTCAAAGAAGAAACTGCTGAATTTAAGAGACAGCAAAGCAGTCTACAAATATTTTTATCTCCTCCTAAAAAAGTTATCCAATAATAATTTAATTCAGAGAGAAAACATCCTTTGAAATTTAAGCATCTTTCTCAAAGAATTTCCTGTCTTAATGGCCCAAACAAGGGGCTTCCATGTTCAGAAGTTTGCCTTTTTCTCCAACCAGATTAGTTAGTCTGGTAACATATACTACGTCTCCCACAGACCTTCCCAAAATTTTGTCCGTAGGTCATTACAGGTGCAAAAATGTTACTACTCACTTTTTTTGGTTGGTTTGTTATTTGTTTGTTTGTTTTACAGTAAGGCGCTTGGAGAAGAATGTAAAAGAAGTGCTTGAAGATTTTGCTGAGGACAATGAAAAAAAGGTGAAGCTCCTAACTGGCAAGAGGGTCCAGCTCGCAGAGGATCTCAGTAAGTACCTACTCTATAGTGTTTTGGAACTAGCTTGGAATGAAGCAAGTTCTGACCACTGACCTTGAGAATATGGGTTGTTCATTAAATTAATATCACAAATGGAATTTTTCTTAAATACGGTCAGATCTTACTGATTCAAAGGTGGACATGGGTAGTATAGTGTGATAAAACAACATAATTTACACTAGATGTAAATTCACTGATATAAATATATTGCATCAATATATTGAAAAATGTACTTAAAACAGAGTAACATTGTAAAGGGAAGTTCTTGTTTTTCTAGTACAACATGGTTAGTCCACACCTCAGAGACCTCTCTCTGGGTGATTCAGTCTTGACTGTGTAAGGAGGTTTTGATCCCATCTTTCTTTAATTATTATGTGAAATATGTAGCCTTCCCACAGGTAATACTGACTTTTAAATAGAGATTAGCTGGAAATGCCCGTGACTTACTGGCCAGCTCTTTTTAGGCTGTGTATACAGAAACAAAACCTGTCAGACATGAAGATCTGATATGTTGTACTTAATAAGCTGACTGGCAGGGGGAAAAAACCCAATGCTGTGCAAAAGGGAAAAGAAAAAAAGCTTGTGATAAATAAAGTTCATGTAGATATACAAATATCTGCGTCTTGAGATCACAGGTGACCTTTCCTCTTATACCTTATTTTGTGTTTGATGTAGCAACTAATTTTCTCTTAAAATATGACTTTGGATATTTAATTCAGAATAAATGAATGCTGTGGTCAGTGTTTCTTCTTTTATTTAGCAATGTTCTGATATCCAGGGTTCAGTGGGACAGAGGAGCCTTCAATTGCTGTTAGTGTTTCCTACGTTTGAATTGTGTCTTCCATTTTTTACATCCAAAATGTTATATAAAACAAATGTTTTGCTTACAATAAACTCAAAATCTAATGATTTATTTTTGATAGTGCTGGTTTGGTTACATTGGAAGTGTTATCTTATTATGGAAGTATTGTTATTAAAATCCCAGTCAGTTATGGTATTTGTTGTCCTTTAGAAAGTGTTGCTATAATATTTCGAAATTGTGAGTGGGAGTTTTAGTGAATCTAGGGCAAATTGTCTGGTTTTTTTGACTGGTCTCTGAAACGGCTGGTGTGACTATATTTTATTATAGGTTCATAATTCTCTCCAAACATCCTGTGTTGCTTTTGAAACCCTGTATCAACCTTCATGTAGCCATTCTTTTAGAGTGGGTGGAATGTGTTTTACAAAATAAGGCTTTTTCCTCTCTCCATATGTATGTTGAAGTAAAACTAGTGGTAACCTGCATAGTGGGACACAGATATTTAATGAGGAAGTTATCACCTTTTATTAGTGACCAGTGCCGCTTGCTTTCTTGCTGGATGTTTTTTTTTTCCTGAGCAAATACTGGCATAGAGTGAAAGTTGGTGATTTTGATTTATCCTTAAATATTCAGTGTTTCAAGACAAAGTGAAGGAGCACTAGAAAATACATAATTTTTAAGTTAATCCATCTTTGTTTTGCACTGAAATCAACTTGGAATTTCTGCATTGTCAATTTTGCTTCTCACCTCCCATTTCAAAGCAGTAACAGCTGGGCTCATTATTTTGTAAACTGAGACTAGGCCTGTAAGAGCAGCCTGCCTGTGTGTTTATAATCCTAGGTATCTGTGTATTAGTATATATGCTTCAAGTTTGTGCTATGCATTTCATAAATTATTATGTAGCTAAAACACCGTCACTGCACTGTATTTCTTTAGATTCAGGAGGTCACAGATCCCACACACATTTTTCTAAGGAAATAATAGTCGTTCAGGGCAAAATGAGGTATGATGACATGTTCTGTTTTATTGTACCGATGGGAAGATTTTAAAACTACCACTGCTTAGCTCTGTAGTCAAATCAGCAATGTTCTCTCTACATGTTCTCTCAGCATGTTTCTGCATGCTTTTATTGCTAAGTGGTTATAATTTTTATGGGCAAATGACAGGAAAAAGGGATTTCTTTGCCTTTCCCTTAGTGAATAGAGTGCTTTTCTGTGGTGCAGGTTTTTTTATACTCCTCAGACAGACTTTGATAGCATAGAGCATTGAACTCTCAGGTGGCTACACAAGTAATTTCCTTCTTACAGCATTTAGTGATAATCAGGACTCTGCTTAAGGAAAGAAAATCCTGACTCCCACAACACACATTTGTAAAGTATTTGTATTTTAATTAGGAATGGAATGGAAGGGATCTCCTGAATCATGAAGTCCAGTCTCTTTCTGTTCCAGGCAGCTGTGTTTATATAACCCAGCTCCTTCACATATCTTGAGCTCCATCTTTAAATCAGTTAACTTGTTGGGGCTCACTATTCATACTGAAAACATGTTACAGGATGTCATTCCTCTGATGGTTACAAACGGTCTTTTAATTTCCAGTCTAAATTTGTAAATATGAGGCTGGGATTCAATTGCTGATTGGAAACTGTACTTGCAAATCTAAATTATTTATATACCTGAGGTTGGGACGCTTCCTCTTGATGCTGATGATACAGCAACGCTGTCTCACTTCTGTTACATCAGTCTTTTAATGCTGAAGCACTGGAAGTGTTTTATTGTTTGTTCAGGATACTGGTTAATGCCAAACTTTTTCTGACATGGGTGACCCAGTCTCGCAATGAGAGCTCATATAAGACTCAAAACTTATTTGAGCAGGTTTTGTTATCTGCGTTCTACAGCCTTGAATGATATTTTAACCCTATATGTGAATGTTCCTTGATGACCTTTAGGCCCTGAGTCTTGCTGCTTCTCAATGTTTACTTCTAAGGTTTTATTCTAGATATTTCAAAAAGTGTAAACAGATCTTTTCAACGGTTTCTAATAAATTATGTATTTTATAATGTACTGAAGGTTACTTTTTCTTCAAAAAAAGGCTTTTAATGTAATGTAAATGTACTCCTTATCATAAGTATCATCATGATACTTGTACCAGTGAACAATTACTAAGTTTATGGAAATAAAGAAGCCCTAGGACTAGAGACCATTTGGAAGAAAGGATTGTAAGATACAAAAAAGGGCAGAGCAGAAGATGAATAGCTGAATTGGAAAAAGTGACTTTAAAAACGTCCTAAGATGCAATCAGTCCATAAGAATACCTGTATTGAAAGAGGCCTGTGGTTGGTGTATCCCAGTGTCCTGTCCCTGGCAATGAGCAGGCGTGAGTACTTAGGGAACAGCATAAGAACAGGTTAAGCATACAGTAGCACTTGCCTGGTATTCTCTCTCAGCATCTAACAATCTGTGGTTCCAAGATTTCCTAATCCTGAGGTAATATCTTTGTGATTAATAGCCATTCATGGATTTTTCTTTCCTCCTGTGAATTTCTCTAATTGCTTTTTGAACTCATGTAAACTTTGGCATCTGCAACATCCTGTGGCAATTAGTTCCAGAGTTTAACTACACATTGTGTGAAAAAGTACTTCCTTTTGTTTATTTTTAAGCCAGCTGCCAGTTTCATTTGGTTCTCCTTAGTTCTTGCACTGTGAAAAACATTCAGTAATCTTTCTCTATTCATTTTTTTTTTTTTGTGCCACTCATGACTTCATAGATGTTTATGCTACCCACACTTGCTCTTCTTTTTCCTGGATTGACAGGTTCTCGTCTGTGTAGTTGCTCCTTGCATGGACATTGTTTCATAGCTTCAATCAGCCTTGCCACTCGTTTCCCCTTTAGTTCTACTAAACCCTTTTTGAGATGAAAGAGCAGAACTGCACACAATATTTGAAATGTGTCTGCATTATGGATTTATACAGTTGCATTATGATGCTTTCTGGGTTTTAATCTGGTCTTCTTACAGTAATTCCTCGTAGTTCATTTCCTGTTTTTGCACGCTGATGAGTAATGAGCTGATGGCTGCACTGGACTATCTGCTACAGCTCCCAGTTTTTTTGTGAGGAGTAACAGCAGTTCAGAGCCCATCATTTTCCGTGCCATGTTTTTAAACTGTAGGGACAGTTGAGATATGTTTATTGTTTTGCTGAGGATACAGAAACAAGAGGAATTTGCTCTCTGTCTCTTACATGTCTAACTGGGTACTTCAGGCATATTCAGCAATTGGTAGGAACTTGTTTTAATGCAGTTGTTTACAACCTCCCTGACAACTCTGGTGTGTTATTTGTATCGAGAAGTTCTTCGCCAAAGTCATCTGTCAGTTGAAGAACATACCCAGGTCTTTTACTCTATCTTGGATAACCTCATCAGCAACAGGAAGAATTACATTTACTTACCAGTTGGCACATGCATCTTGATTGTGCTCATTGCTGAAGGGCAAAATATTTTTATTTGAAACTTATACTCCACACAATTTAGTCTTTTACTATATGCTTAGTTAAATCAGTATGTTAAATATACCATGTGCTAGGTTCTGTAAGAAGTAGAATGGGGTAGAGGGAGCTAAAAGTATTATGGTAAGCATTAATCTTTTAAAAGGAGAGTTTCCACTCATAAAAATGCATCTTGTCAGGACTGCCCTGTTTGTATTGCAGGCTTTAAGGCACTGCTTGTGGCTGGAGGGAAAATCTAGTATCTAATGGTGGCAAGTCAGTCCCTTCAAATGCTTGCGGGTGTGTTATGCACAAGTGTGTGTAGCTGTACACAAAGCCTTTCCACTTTCTCTTTTTTTAAAATATTAATTACCCTTTGTTTCTACAATACCTTAGGAGATGGATCAGTCAGTATATATCTTCTAATTCTGTCAGTAATCTTTTATATTTACTAGTTCGTACTGTTTTCTCCTGTATTCTTGTTTAACTTTTCCAAAGTGACTGACATTGAACATTCATGCAGACTGCCTCTGAACTTACATTTAATATTTAAAAGCTTTCAGTATTTTTAAATATTTTTTTTCTGCAAAATTTGTTAAAATGGTAAAACTGCTGGCATTTGCTGAGTTTCAGGATCTTTTTGATGGCAATGCTAAAGTGGGTTGATTATTTATAAAAGACAATTCTTTGAAGTCACACCTTCCCTAGAACTA